CCTGGGGACAGGCAGCTCTGCTCCACACACCACCATCCTCACTATGCTGATTCTGAACCAGTCCCTCCCTTTAGTCCAATTTAGGGTCTGTGGCCCAGACAGGGCCGACTCAGCCACCCTCAGCATCCGAAGGTTCTGAACAAATGCCACAGCTGTCTGCACTGAGGACAGCAGCAACACTGGCAATGTTGACAGCCAAGGCCAATACGACACACTCTTCACATGTACACGCTGTATTTTCTGTCGCTCTGTGCTAAGTCATGTTCTTAAAGGGGACTTTTGCTATGCCAGATAGTTTCAATATTTATGTAGACCAATGCTTTTTTCTCAAGATCAGTATTTTTGTGTCCTAAAACAACTATACATATATGCATGTCTGTATATATACAACTATATACATATATACATGTATATGTGCATATATATACAACTGTGTATATATACATACACACATGTATATAGTTGTATATATACACATACACACATATGTTCATATAAAAAACAAAGTCTGTTAAAAACATGAATGGCTTGATATTCTAGTGCCAAGTGAGGGATGGCTTTATTTAAAACATAAATAGTTTCCAGTAGATTCCTTTGAAAATATTATAGCAGGGATTTCCAGATCACCCCCACTCCCACCTTTTTATAATTTTTGACTATTTTCCAGAGTCGTGAATCCAATGAGGTGAAGGTGGAAGAAAGCATTTAGCAGTAGGTACAGGAGAGCTGGTGTTGAGTGAGGCAGAGTGGGGAGAGATGCTCCTTTAAGTGGGAGCCTCTGGAACCTGGAGAAAGCAAGGGTGAAATGGGCAACCTTCCTGCAGAGCTACCAGAGGTGTGGATGATGCCCCAGGCATGGATGATGCCCCAGCAGTGGATGCCCCAGGCGTGGATGATGTCCCAGCAGTGGATAATGCCCCAGACGTGAATGATGCTCCAAGCGTGGATGATGCCCATCTGTGGATGCCACAGCAGTGGATGATGCCCCAGGCGTGGATGATGTCGCAGTGGATACCCCAGGCGTGGATGATGTCCCAGCAGTGGATGATGCTCCAGGTGTGGATGATGCCCATCTGTGGATGCCACAGCAGTGAATGATGCCCCAGCAGTGGATGCCCCAGGCGTGGATGATGCCCCAGCAGTGGGTGATGCCCCAGCAGTGGATGATGTCCCAAGAGTGAATGATGCCACAGAAATGGATTATGCCCCAGGCGTGGTTGATGCCCCAAGCGTGGATGATGCCCCAGCAGTGGATGCCCCAGGTGTGGAAGATGCCCCAGCAGTGGATGATGCCCCAGGCACGGATGATGCCACAGCAGTGGATGATGCCCCAGCAGTGGATGATGCCCATCTGTGGATGATGCTGCAGCAGTGAGTGATGCTCCAGGTGTGGATGATGCCCCAGCAGTGGATGCCCCAGGCATGGATGTCCCAGCAGTGGGTGATGCCCCAGGCATAGATGATGCCCATCTGTGGATGTTCCAGCAGTGGATGATGCCCCAGCAGTGGGTGATGCCCATCTGTGGATGATGCCGCAGCAGTGAATGATGCCCCAGCTGTGGATGATGCTGCAGCAGTGAATGCCCCAGCAGTGGATGCCCCAGGCATGGATAATGTCCCAGCAGTGGGTGATGCCCCCGGCATGGATGCCCCAGCAGTGGATGATGCCCCAGCAGTGGATGATGCCCCAGGCATGGAAGATGCCCCATCTGTGGATGCCCCAGGAGTGGATGATGCCCCATCTGTGGATGAGGCCCATCTGTGGATGAGGCCCATCTGTGGATGATGCTGCAGCAGTGGATGATGCTCCAGGCGTGGATGATGCCCATCTGGGGATGATGCCGCAGCATTGGATGATGACCCAGCAGTGGATGCTCCAAGCGTGGATGCTGTTCCAGCAGTGGATGATGCCCCAGGTGTGGATGATGCCCCAGCAATGGGTGATGCCCCAGCAGTGGATGATGTCCCAGGGGTGGATGATGCCATAGCAATGTGATGCCCCAAGCATGGATGATGCCCCAGGCTTGGATGATGCCCCAGGTGTGGATGATGCTGCAATAGTGGATGATGCCCCAGCAGTGGATGCCCCAGGCGTGAATAATGTCCCAGCGGTGGGTGATGCCCCAGGCATGGATGATACACCAGAAGTGGATGATGCCCCAGGCATGGATGGTGTTTCAGCAGTGGATGATGCCCCAGCAGTGGATGCCCCAGGCATGGATGATGTCCCAGCAGTGGATGATGCCCCAGGCGTGGATGCCATAGCAGTGGATGATGTCCCAGGGGTGGATGATGCCACAGCACTGGATGATGCCCCAGGTGTGGCTGATGCCCCCCCCAAGCAGTGGATGCCCCAGGCATGGATGATGTCCCAGCAGTGGATGATGCCCCAGGCATGGAAGATGCCCCATCTGTGGATGCCCCCGGTGTGGATGATGCCCCATCTGTGGATGATGCCCATCTGTGGATGATGCTGCAGCAGTGGATGATGCTCCAGGCGATGATGCCCATCTGTGGATGATGCCGCAGCAGTGGATGATGGCCCAGCAGTGGATGCCCCAGGCGTGAATGATGCTGCAACAGTGGATGATGCCCCAGCAGTGGATGATGCCCCATCTGTGGATGATGCCCCAGGAGTGGATGATGCCCATCTGTGGATGATGCCACAGCAGTGGATGATGCCCCAGGTGTGATGTCCCAGCAGTGGATGCCCCAGGTGTGGATGATGTCCCAGCAGTGGATGATGCCACAGCAGTGGATGATGCTCCAGACGTGGATGATGCTCCAAGCATGGATGATGCCCATCTGTGAATGCCACAGCAGTGGATGATGCCCCAGGCATGGATGATGTCCCAGCAGTGGATGCCCCAGGTGTGGATGATGTCCAGCAGTGGATGATGCTCCAGGCATGGATGATGCCCATCTGTGGATGCCGCAGCAGTGGATGATGCCCCAGGCGTGGATGATGCCCCAGCAGTAAATGATGCCCCAGCTCTGGAGCTCTGGATGATGTCCCAGCAGTGGATGCCCCAGGTGTGGAGGATGCCACAAAAGTGGATGATGCTCCAGGCGTGGATGATGCCATAGCAGTGGATGCCCCAGGAGTGAATGATGCCCATCTGTGGATGATGCCACAGCAGTGAAAGATGCCCCAGGCATGGATAGTGTCCCAGCAGTGGATGATGCTCCAGGCATGGATGGTGCCCATCTGTGGATGCCACAGCAGTGAATGATGCCACAGCAGTGAATGATGCCACAGCAGTGAATGATGCCCCAGTAGTGGATTATGCACATCTGTGAATGATGCCACAGCAGTGGATGATGCCCCAGCAGTGGATGATGCTCCAGGCATGGATGATGCCCATCTGTGGATGATGCCGTAGCAGTGGATGATGCCCCAGCAGTGGATGCCCCAGGCATGGATGATGCCCCAGAAGTCGGTGATGCCCCAGCAGTGGATGATGTCCCAGGGGTGGATGATGCCACCGCAATGGATGCCATGATGCCCCAGCAGTCAATACCCAAGGCGTGGATGATGCCCCAGTTGTGGATGATGCCACAGCAGTGGATGATGCCCCAGTAGTGGATGATGCCCCAGGTATGGATGATGCCCCATCTGTGGATGCCACAGCAGTGGATGATGCCCCAGGAGTAGATGATGCCCATCTGTGGATGATGCCCCAGGCATGGGTGATGTACCAGCAGTGGATGATGCTCCAGGCATGGATGATGCCCATCTGTGGATGATGCCCCAGGAGTGGATGATGCCCATCTGTGGATGATGCCACAGCAGTGGATGATGCCCCAGCAGTGGATGATGCCCCAGGCGTGGATGATGCCCGAGCAGTGGATGCTCCAGGCATGGATGATGCCCATCTGTAAATGATGCCACAGCAGTGGATGATCCCCCAGCAGTGGATGCCCCAGGGGTGGATGATGCCCCAGCAGTGGATGCCCCAGGGGTGGATGATGCCCCAGCAGTGGATGCCCCAGGCATGATGCCCCAGGCATAGATGATGCCCCAGAAGTCGGTGATGCCCCAGCAGAGGATGATGTCCCAGGGGTGGATGATGCCATCACAATGGATGTCCCAGACATGGATGATGCCCCAGCAGTCAATGCCCCAGGCGTAGATGATGCCCCAGTTGTGGATGATGCCACAGCAGTGGATGATGCCCCAGCAGTAGATGATGCCCCAGGTATGGATTCCCCATCTGTGGATGATGCCACAGCAGTGGATGATGCCACAGCAGTGGCTGATGCCCCAGGTGTGGGTGATGTACCAGCAGTGGATGTCCCAGCAGTGGATGATGCTCCAGGCATGGATGATGCCCATCTGTGGATGATGCCCATCTGTGGATGATGCCACAGCAGTGGATGATGCCCCAGGTGTGGATGATGCCCCAGCAGTGGATGCTCCAGGCATGGATGATGCCCATCTGTAAATGATGCCACAGCAGTGGATGATGCCCCAGCAGTGGATGATGTCCCAGCACAGCACAGCAGTGGATGATGCCCCAGCAGTGGGTGATGCCCCAGCAGTGGATGATGTCCCAGGGGTGGATGATGCCACAGCAATGGATGATGCCCCAGGCATGGATGATGCCACAGCAGTGGATGACGCCCCAGGAGTGGATGATGCCCCAGCAGTGGATGATGCCCCAGCTGTGGATAATGCTGCAGCAGTGGATGATGCTACAGGTGTGGAAGATGCCCATCTGTGGATGCCACAGCAGTGGATGATGTCCCAGGCGTGATGTCCCAGCAGTGGATGATGCTGCAGCAGGGGATGATGCCCCAGGCGTGGATGATGCCCCAGCAATGGATGATGCACCAGCTGTGGATGATGCCACAGCAGTGAATGATGCACCAGCTGTGGATGCCACAGCAGTGGATGATGCTCCAGGTGTGGATGATGCTCCAGGCGTGGATGATACTCCAGGCGTGGATGATGCCCATCTGTGGATGATGCCCCAGGCGTGGATGATACCCGATGATGCCCCAGCTGTGGATGATGCCCATTTGTGAATATGCCCCTGTTGTCCCGGCCATGGATGATGATTCAGCTGTGGATCAAAGCCAACAGTTGTTTTCAAGAAAAATCTAGCACCCAAGTCATTAGTGAGATTTATCAAGAAAAAGAGAAAATCACAAAATTAATATCAGAAATTAATAGGAAGACATAACCACAGAGAGAGCAGAGACTATAAAACAATGAGTGGACATTATGAATACATAACTTGTTTTGAAGCAACATTTTGTTTCACTTTGGCTGGTGTCCATATGCTGCAGTAGCCAGCCAATAGTGAGAGGGCTTCTCATGGAGGAAGCTTGGGTTGAGGCTGAGGATCTTTAACATGCATGCACAAGAGTTGCCACAAGGGGATGGAAACCAGGCTACCAACCAAGTGCTGCACAGAGTTTGTACCTGTCCCTCTCATCATTTTCAGCTGGCAGGGTTTGAGCATTTTAGGGCTTGGGAAGGTATTACTAAATCTAAATCTACTAAAAGACATCACCGATCCTTATATGCTTTGGCCAATTGCTGAGCAAATTAACTTCACAACTGAAGTGGGCTGCATTGGCCAGTGTGGTCCCCCACTCCTCTTAGAATTTGTGAGCTTGGGGCCTGCTGGAGGGTGGACGGTGGGAGGAGGGAAAAGGTCAGGAAAATAACTGGTATTAGGCTTAATATGTGGATGATAAAATAACCTGCACAACAAACCCTCGTGACACACGTTTATGTTATGTACCAAACCTGCTCATCCTGCACAGGTTCCCCTGAACGTAAAAACAAAACAAAAAAGGATCTGTGAGCCGACCCAAACACCTGGGGATCTTTGCGCTTTTCACACTGATGATTACAGGGGAGATGTACCTGTAACTGCCCTGGGTTGTGTGACCATGGAGGCCACTTTATAACGACGGGCAGTGTCTGGGACTTCCTTAGGGCTTATACATGAATGCTGTACTCCCTGCATGGTGGCGAACACCCCAGAGCATGCCAGTAGTTGCCAGTGTCAGCACTGGCCCACACTCCTGGATTTGTGTTTTCACTTTTTCATTCAGGAACTCAGGAGCTGGGGCCACCCCCTGGCCCTTCAGGTTCTCTACCTGAGCTGTGAGGATAATAAACCAATGGAAAGCTTCGTCCAGAAATTACAGATGTCTAGACAATCTGGTCATGAGAAAATCACTTCTGGGGTGAACAAGTGACACTGCACAATCAAGCAGTTTCATTCTTTTGTTCCACTGGGAAAATACTGACACATACAGGACAATCAAATTTTACTGAAAAGCAATTCATTTCCACAGAATGAATGCTCCAAAAAAACCTCTCAAACCATCATGTGGTCCACGTGACCTTCATTATGACTTAAAGCAGCTACCTTGGCTCTCTGTGTGTGAAGGTTTTCAGAAGGAAACAAAAACCTATTTCAACAGTAGCATCAATAGGGCATGATGGAGATTCTCCTGTCTCAGAGCCGAGTTCTTCTTCTCTTCATAGACACAACTGTTTCTCACAGCACGCCCCAGATCCTCACACCTATCAGGAACCTGAAGCTAGGAAGGTTCTCCAGACAAAAGCAAGCAAGAAAATCCCCCCAGACTTATCAATTACATTTGCCATTAGAAAGAAAGTGATACTAAAATATGTAAAATGTTAGAGAGGGGAACAACACACACTGTGAGGGAAGTGGACAGGAGAGCATCAGAATAAAGAGCTAATGTATGTGAAGATTAATACCTAGGTGATGGGTTGACAGGTGGAGCAAACCATGCCACAATTTTAGCTATGTAACAAAGCTGCACATCCTGCACATGCATCCCAAAAATTAAAATCAAATTTAAATTAAAAAGAAATTGCCAGAGAAGGCAAATCTAGAGTAAAAGAAAGTGGCTTAGTGGCTGTCCAGGGCCAGCGGTGTGGGCCTAGAAAAAAAAGAGAAGTGACTACTAATGGCGATAGGGTTTCTCTGAGGGGGAAAGAATAGATTCTACTCTAAACTTAGATTGTGACAATGGCTGCACAACCCTGTAAATATAGTAAAAACACTACATCACCCACTTTAAATAAGTGAATTGATTTGCATATCAACTCTGTGACAATAAGGCAGTTTAAAAAAAAATACTTACGGAGGTCATTTGGGGCTGTCACGGGGTCCTGCAACAAGAGAAGAACACAAAAAACATGGTAAGCATCATATCATGCAGGGTGCTGGTGGTGCAGGTCTTTTCACATGGTGACATTAGAAAATCACATCATTGGTCCCTAAATGAAGCATAGGAGATGCTTCTGGAAAAGACAGTGGGGTGTGTTGGAAATTTGGAAAGTGGTGATGTCAGTTGGCAAACACAAAATTCTTTTTCAAAAAACAAATGTGACTACTAAGAAACATGCCCATGACGAGACTGTAAGTTAGGCCATCTACTGACTGACATCGTCAATCAGGCCTCAGTTGGTCAGACACTCCATTGAGTGCTCGCTAGAGGATTCACAATGGCAGTCAAAAATGATATTGACTTGATATTCCAGAGGCCCCAGGAAGAAATATTTCTCTTCGAGACAAAGAAATGCATCTTACCACATCAGGGGGCATCTAATAGTCCTCTATGTCTTCTAGGATGAGGTCCTGTAAGACCTCAACAGGACCTAGGAGAACACAGAGTGACAGTCAGTGGACAGGTGCTGCTGAGGAACATCAGAAGGAGCATTGGGAATTGTGGACGGGGCTGGAGTGTATGGAGCTGGGCATTTGACACGAATGGACCAAGCTGCTGCTGGACCATTCTCCGTGGTGCTGAAGAAAAAAAGAAAAGAGGGGCAAAAAGAAATGAAAGAGCCTTGGCTTCCTAGCCAGGGCAACCTCATCAATGTGAAATCGTCATTTGAAGAACCAGTTAATACAGAAAGGAACCTACTTTAAATGGGTGAATTGGATTGCATGTCAACTAAGTCTCAGTAACTGTTTAAAAGAAACAGAATACGCGTACGGTGGTGATACTGGGCCACAGGCTTCTCCTGCAATGAGAGAAAAAGAAACACCATGAGGATGACATCATGCTGGGTCCTGTTGGCACAGGTCTTGTATTCACTTGGTGAAATAAACAACCAGATGGCAGGCTGGGAACGGTGGCTCGCGCGTGTAATCCTAGCTCGTTGGGAGGCTGCGGCGGGCAGATCATAAGGGCAAGAGATTGAGACCATCCTGGCAAACATGGTGAACACGGCTCTACTAAAAACTACAAGAAAGGTGGGTGTGGTGGTGGTGAGAGACTTCAGTCCAGCTACTCAAGAGTTTGAGGCAGGAGAATTGCTTGAATGCAGTAGGAGGACGCTGCAGTGATCTGAGATCACACCACTGCTCTGTACCCTGGTGACAGAGAGACTCTGTCTAAAAACTAAACTAAGCTAAACAAAAAAAAACCAGATATCAAACAGTGATGAAGCCACATGCCCCTAATGGAGCACACGGGATTGCCTGCAGAATGCAGTGGGTTTGGAATATTTAGCAAGTATCTATGCTGGCTTAAAAATACGAAATTATTTTTCAAGAAGAAAATGTTGCTACTGAGAAATATGCCCACGACCAGATTGTGAGTTATACCATCATTTGACTGACATCGTCAATCAGGCCTCAGTTGGTCAGAAATTCCACTGACTGCTTGTTAGAGTCCATGACAACTGAGGTCTCATTCACAATGGCAGTCAAAAATGATATTCACTTGATATTCCAGAGGCCCCAGGAAGAAATATTTCTCGTCAAGACTAAGAAATGCATCTTACCACATCAGGGGGCATCTCATCGTCCTCTATGTCTTCTAGGACGAGGTCCTGTAAAACCTCAACAGGACCTAAGAGAACACAGAGTGACAGTCAGTGCACTGGTGCTGCTGAGGAATCTCACAAGGAGCATTGGGAAAATTGGACAGGGCAGGAGTGTATGGAGCTGGGCATTTGACACACATGAACCGAGCTGCTGCTGGACATTCCCCTTGGTGCTGAAGGAACAAAAAGAAGAGGGGCAGAAACAAACGAAAGAGCCTTGGCTTCCTAGCTAGGGCAACCTCATCAATGTGAAATCGTCATTTGAAGAACCAGTTAATACAGAAAGGAACCTACTTTAAATGGGTGAATTGGTTTGCATGTCAACTACGTCTCATAACTGTTTAAAAGAAACAGAATACGTACGGTGGTGATACTTGGCCGCAGGCTTCTCCTGCAATAAGACAAAAAGAGACACCATGAGGATGACATCATGCTGGGTCCTGTTGGCACAGGTCTTGTATTCGCTTGGTGACATAAGAAAACCAGACAGGAGGCTGAAAACGCTGCCTCACACATGTAATCCCAGCACATTCGGAGGCTGACCAGGCAGGTCATGAGGGCAAGAGATTGAGACACTCCTGGCCAACATGGTGACCCCGGCTCTACTTAAACCTACAAAAAAGGTGGGTGTGGTGGTGGTCAGAGACTTTCGTCCAGAGCTACTCAAGAGTTTCAGGCAGGAGAACTGCTTGAATGCAGTAGGAAGACGCTGCAGTGATCTGAGATCACACCACTGCACTGGACCCTGGTGACAGAGAGACTGTCTCAAAAACAAAACTAAGCTAAACAAAAAAAAAACAGATGTCAAACAGTGATGAAGCCACACGCCTCTAATGCAGCACAGGAGATGCTTGCAAAAAAATGCAGTGGTTTTGGAATATTTAGCAAGTATCTATGCTGGCTGAAAAATACGAAATTACTTTTCAAGAAGAAAATGTTGCTACTGAGAAATATGCCCACGACCAGATTGTGAGTTATGCAATCTTTTGACTGACTTCGTCAATCAGGCCTCATTTGGTCAGAAACTCCACTGACTGCTCGCTAGAGTCCATGACAACTGAGGTCTCATCACAATGGCAGTCAAAAATGATATTCACTTGATATTCCAGAGGCCCCAGGAAGAAATATTTCTCTTCGAGACTAAGAAAGGCATCTTACCACAGCAGGGGGCATCTCTTCGTCCTCTATGTCTTCTAGGACGAGGTCCTGTAAAACCTCAACAGGACCTAAGAGAACACAGAGTGACAGTCAGTGCACTGGTGCTGCTGAGGAATCTCACAGGAGCATTGGGAACTGTGGACGGGGCTGGAGTGTATGGAGCTGGGCATTTGACATGCATGGACCGAATTGCTGCTGGACCATTCTCCTTGGTGCTGAAGGAACAAAAAGAAGAGGGGCAGAAACAAACGAAAGAGCCTTGGCTTCCTAGCTAGGGCAACCTCATCAATGTGAAATCATCATTTGAAGAACCAGTTAATACAGAAAGGAACCTACTTTAAATGGGTGAATTGGTTTGCATGTCAACTACGTCTCAGTAACTGTTTAAAAGAAACAGAATACGTACGGTGGTGATACTGGGCCGCAGGCTTCTCCTGCAATAAGAGAAACAAAAACACCATGAGGATGACATCATGCTGGGTCCTGTTGGCACAGGTCTTGTGTATTCACTGGGTGTCATAAGAAAACCAGATGGCAGGCTGGGAATGGTGGCTCACGCATGTAATCCCAGCTCGTTGGGAGGCTGAGGCGAGCAGATCATGAGGACAAGAGATTGAGACCATCCTGGCCAAAATGGTGAACACGGCTCTACTAAAAACGACAGGAAAGGTGGGTGTGGAAATGGTGAGAGACTTCAGTCCAGATACTCAACAGGTTGAGGCAGGAGAATTGCTTGAATGCACTAGGAGGACGCTGCAGTGATCTGAGATCACACCACTGCTCTGTACCCTGGTGACAGAGAGACTCTGTCTAAAAACTAAACTAAGCTAAACAAAAAAAATCAGATATCAAACAGTGATGAAGCCACATGCCACTAATGGAGCACACGGGATGCCTGCAGAAAATGCCGTGGGTTTAGAATATTTAGCAAGTATCTATGCTGGCTGAAAAATACGAATATATTTTTCAAGAAGAAAATGTTGCTACTGAGAAATATGCCCATAACCAGATTGTGAGTTATACTATCATTTGACTGACATCGTCAATCAGGCCTCAGTTGGTCAGAAATTCCACTGACTGCTTGTTAGAGTGCATGACAACTGAGGTCTCATTCACAACGGCAGTCAAAAATGATATTCACTTGATATTCCAGAGGCCCCAGGAAGAAATATTTCTCATCAAGACTAAGAAATGCATCTTACCACATCAGGGGGCATCTCATCGTCCTCTATGTCTTCTAGGACGAGGTCCTGTAAAACCTCAACAGGACCTAAGAGAACACAGAGTGACAGTCAGTGCACTGGTGCTGCTGAGGAATCTTACAAGGAGCATTGGGAAATGTGGACAGGGCTGGAGTGTATGGAGCTGGGCATTTGACACGCATGAACCGAGCAGCTGCTGGATCATTCTCCTTGGTGCTGGAGGAAAATAAAAGAGGGGCAGAAAGAAATGAAAGAGCCTTGGCTTCCTAGCTAGGGCAACCTCATCAATGTGAAATCGTCATTTGATTTGAAGAACCAGTTAATACAGAAAAGCACCTACTTTAAATGAGTGAATTGGTTTGCATGTCAACTAGGTCTCAGTAACTGTTTAAAAGAAACAGATTACGTACGGTGGTGATACTGGGCCACAGGCTTCTCCTGCAATAAGACAAAAAGAAACACCATGAGAATTACATCATGCTGGGTCCTGTTGGCACAGGCCTTGTATTCACTTACTGACATAAGAAAACCAGATGGCAGGCTGGGAACAGTGGCTCACGCAAGTAATCCCAGCACGTTGTGAGGCTGAAGCAGGCAGATCATGAGGGCAAGAGATTGAGATCATCCTGGCCAACATGGTGAACCCGGCTCTACTTAAACCTACAAAAAAGGTGGGTGTGGTGGTGGTCAGAGACTTTAGTCCAGCTACTCAAGAGTTTCAGGCAGGAGAATTGCTTGAATGCAGTAGGAGGACGCTGCAGTGATCTGAGATCACACCACTGCACTGAACCCTGGTGACAGAGAGACTCTGCTCAAAAACAAAACTAAGCTAAACAAAAAGAAACAGATGTCAAACACTGATGAAGCCACATGCCCCTAATGGAGCACAGGCTATGTGTGCAAAAAATACAGTGGTTTTAAACTATTTAGCAAGTGTCTATGCTGGCTGAAAAATACGAAATTACATTTCAAGAAGAAAATGTTGCTACTGAGAAATATGCCCACGACCAGATTGTGAGTTATGCCATCTTTTGACTGACGTCGTCAATCAGGCCTCAGTTGGTCAGAAACTCCACTGACTGCTCGCTAGAGTCCATGACAACTGAGGTCTCATTCACAATGGCAGTCAAAAATGATATTCACTTGATATTCCAGAGGCCCCAGGAAGAAATATTTCTCTTCGAGACTAAGAAATGCATCTTACCACAGCAGGGGGCATCTCTTCGTCCTCTATGTCTTCTAGGACGAGGTCCTGTAAAACCTCAACAGGACCTAAGAGAACACAGAGTGACAGTCAGTGCACTGGTGCTGCTGATGCTGAGGAATCTCACAGGAGCATTGGGAACTGTGGACGGGGCTGGAGTGTATGGAGCTGGGCATTTGACACGCATGGACCGAGCTGCTGCTGGACCATTCTCCTTGGTGCTGAAGGAACAAAAAGAAGAGGGGCAGAAACAAACGAAAGAGCCTTGGCTACCTAGCTAGGGCAACCTCATCAATGTGAAATCGTCATTTGAAGAAACAGTTAATACAGAAAGGAACCTACTTTAAATGGGTGAATTGGTTTGCATGTCAAATACGTCTCAGTAACTGTTTAAAAGAAACAGAATACGTACGGTGGTGATACTTGGCCGCAGGCTTCTCCTGCAATCAGACAAAAAGAAACACCATGAGGATTACATCATGCTGGGTCCTGTTGGCACAGGTCTTGTATTCACTTGGTGACATAGGAAAACCAGATGGCAGGCTGAAAACGGTGCCTCACGCATGTAATCGCAGCACATTCGGAGGTTGAGGCGGGCAGATCATGAGGGCAAGGCGCAAGAGATTGAGACCATCCTGGCCAACATGGTGAACCCGGCTCTACGAAAAACTACAAGAAACGTGGGTGGGCTGGTGGTGAGAGACTTCAGTCCAGCTACTCAAGAGTTTGAGGCAGGAGAATTGCTTGAATGCAGTAGGAGGACGCTGCAGTGATCTGAGATCACAACACTGCACTGGACCCTGGTGACAGAGAGACTCTGTCTCAAAAACAAAACTAAGCTAAAAAAAAATAAACAAATGTCAAACAGTGATGAAGCCATATGCCCCTAATGGAGCACAGGGGATTGCCTCCAGAAAATGCAGTGGGTTTGGAATATTTAGCAAGTATCTATGCTGGCTGAAAAATGCGAAATTACTTTTCAAGAAGAAAATGTTGCTACTGAGAAATATGCCCACGACCAGATTGTGAGTTATGCAATCTTTTGACTGACGTCGTCAATCAGGCCTCAGTTGGTCAGAAACTCCACTGACTGCTCGCTAGAGTCCATGACAACTGAGGTCTCTCATTCACAATGGCAGTCGAAAATGATATTCACTTGATATTCCAGAGGCCCCAGGAAGAAATATTTCTCTTCGAGACTAAGAAATGCATCTTACCACAGCAGGGGGCATCTCTTCGTCCTCTATGTCTTCTAGGACGAGGTCCTGTAAAACCTCAACAGGACCTAAGAGAACACAGAGTGACAGTCAGTGCACTGGTACTGCTGAGGAATCTCACAGGAGCATTGGGAACTGTGGACGGGACTGGAGTGTATGCAGCTGGGCATTTGACACGCATGGACCGAGCTGCTGCTGGACCATTCTCCTTGGTGCTGAAGGAACAAAAAGAAGAGGGGCAGAAACAAACGAAAGAGCCTTGGCTTCCTAGCTAGGGCAACCTCATCAATGTGAAATCGTCATTTGAAGAACCAGTTAATACAGAAAGGAACCTACTTCAAATGGGTGAATTGGTTTGCATGTCAACTACGTCTCAGTAACTGTTTAAAAGAAACAGAATACGTACGTACGGTGGTGATACTTGGCCGCAGGCTTCTCCTGCAATCAGACAAAAAGAAACACCATGAGGATTACATCATGCTGGGTCCTGTTGGCACAGGTCTTGTATTCACTTGGTGACATAATAAAACCAGATGGCAGGCTGAAAACGGTGCCTCACGCATGTAATCGCAGCACATTCAGAGGCTGAGGCAGGCAGATCATGAGGGCAAGAGATTGAGACCATCCTGGCCAACATGGTGAACCCGGCTCTACTAAAAACTACAAGAAACGTGGGTGGGGTGGTGGTGAGAGACTTCAGTCCAGCTACTCAAGAGTTTGAGGCAGGAGAATTGCTTGAATGCAGTAGGAGGACGCTGCAGTGATCTGAGATCACAACACTGCACTGGACCCTGGTGACAGAGAGACTCTGTCTCAAAAACAAAACTAAGCTAAACAAAAAAAAACAAATGTCAAGCAGTGATGAAGCCACATGCCCCTAATGGAGCACAGGGGATTGCCTCCAGAAAATAATGCAGTGGGTTTGGAATATTTAGCAAGTATCTATGCTGGCTGAAAAATACGAAATTACTTTTCAAGAAGAAAATGTTGCTACTGAGAAATATGCCCACGACCAGATTGTGAGTTATGCAATCTTTTGACTGACGTCGTCAATCAGGCCTCAGTTGGTCAGAAACTCCACTGACTGCTCGCTAGAGTCCATGACAACTGAGGTCTCATTCACAATGGCAGTCGAAAATGATATTCACTTGATATTCCAGAGGCCCCAGGAAGAAATATTTCTCTTCGAGACTAAGAAATGCATCTTACCACAGCAGGGGGCATCTCTTCGTCCTCTATGTCTTCTAGGACGAGGTCCTGTAAAACCTCAACAGGACCTAAGAGAACACAGAGTGACAGTCAGTGCACTTGTGCTGCTGAGGAATCTCACAAGGGGCATTGGGAAATGTGGATGGGGCTGGAGTGCATGGAGCTGGGCATTTGACACGCATGGACCGAGCTGCTGCTGGACCATCATTCTCCTTGGTGCTGAAGGAACAAAAAGAAGAGGGGCAGAAACAAACGAAAGAGCCTTGGCTTCCTAGCTAGGGCAACCTCATCAATGTGAAATCGTCATTTGAAGAACCAGTTAATACAGAAAGGAACCTACTTTAAATGGGTGAATTGGTTTGCATGTCAACTACGTCTCAGTAACTGTTTAAAAGAAACAGAATACGTACGGTGGTGATACTTGGCCGCAGGCTTCTCCTGCAATCAGACAAAAAGAAACACCATGAGGATTACATCATGCTGGGTCCTGTTGGCACAGGTCTTGTATTCACTTGGTGACATAGGAAAACCAGATGGCAGGCTGAAAACGGTGCCTCACGCATGTAATCGCAGCACATTCAGAGGCTGAGGCGGGCAGATCATGAGGGCAAGAGATTGAGACCATCCTGGCCAACATGGTGAACCCGGCTCTACGAAAAACTACAAGAAACGTGGGTGGGCTGGTGGTGAGAGACTTCAGTACTCAAGAGTTTGAGGCAGGAGAATTGCTTGAATGCAGTAGGAGGACGCTGCAGTGATCTGAGATCACACCACTGCACTGGACCCTGGCGACAGAGAGACTCTCTCTCAAAACAAAACTAAGCTAAACAAAAAAAAACAAATGTCAAACAGTGATGAAGCCACATGCCCCTAATGGAGCACAGGGGATTGCCTCCAGAAAATGCAGTGGGTTTGGAATATTTAGCAAGTATCTATGCTGGCTGAAAAATACGAAATTACTTTTCAAGAAGAAAATGTTGCTACTGAGAAATATGCCCACGACCAGATTGTGAGTTATGCAATCTTTTGACTGACATCGTCAATCAGGCCTCAGTTGGTCAGAAACTCCACTGACTGCTCGCTAGAGTCCATGACAACTGAGGTCTCATTCACAATGGCAGTCAAAAATGATATTCACTTGATATTCCAGAGGCCCCAGGAAGAAATATTTCTCTTCGAGACTAAGAAATGCATCTTACCAGCAGGGGGCATCTCTTCGTCCTCTATGTCTTCTAGGACGAGGTCCTGTAAAACCTCAACAGGACCTAAGAGAACACAGAGTGACAGTCAGTGCACTGGTGCTGCTGAGGAATCTCACAGGAGCATTGGGAACTGTAGACGGGACTGGAGTGTATGCAGCTGGGCATTTGACACGCATGGACCGAGCTGCTGCTGGACCATTCTCCTTGGTGCTGAAGGAACAAAAAGAAGAGGGGCAGAAACAAACGAAAGAGCCTGGGCTTCCTAGCTAGGGCAACCTCATCAATGTGAAATCGTCATTTGAAGAACCAGTTAATACAGAAAGGAACCTACTTTAAATGGGTGAATTGGTTTGCATGTCAACTACGTCTCAGTAACTGTTTAAAAGAAACAGAATACGTACGGTGGTGATACTTGGCCGCAGGCTTCTCCTGCAATCAGACAAAAAGAAACACCATGAGGATTACATCATGCTGGGTCCTGTTGGCACAGGTCTTGTATGTATTCACTTGGTGACATAATAAAACCAGATGGCAGGCTGAAAACGGTGCCGCACGCATGTAATCGCAGCACATTCGGAGGCTGAGGCGGGCAGATCATGAGGGCAAGAGATTGAGACCATCCTGGCCAACATGGTGAACCCGGCTCTACTAAAAACTACAAGAAACGTCGGTGGGGTGGTGGTGAGAGACTTCAGTCCAGCTACTCAAGAGTTTGAGGCAGGAGAATTGCTTGAATGCAGTAGGAGGACGCTGCAGTGATCTGAGATCACACCACTGCACTGGACCCTGGTGACAGAGAGACTCTGTCTCAAAAACAAAACTAAGCTAAACAAAAAAAAACAAATGTCAAACAGTGATGAAGCCACATGCCCCTAATGGAGCACAGGGGATTGCCTCCAGAAAATGCAGTGGGTTTGGAATATTTAGCAAGTATCTATGCTGGCTGAAAAATACGAAATTACTTTTCAAGAAGAAAATGTTGCTACTGAGAAATATGCCCACGGACCAGATTGTGAGTTATGCCAGCTTTTGAATGACATCGTCAATCAGGCCTCAGTTGGTCAGAAATTCCACTGACTGCTCGCTAGAGTCCATGACAACTGAGGTCTCATTCACAATGGCAGTCAGAAATGATACTCACTTGATATTCCAGAGGCCCCAGGAAGAAATATTTCTCTTCGAGACTAAGAAAGGCATCTTACCACATCAGGGGGAATCTCATCGTCCTCTATGTCTTCTAGGACGAGGTCCTGTATAACCTCAACAGGACCTAAGAGAACACAGAGTGACAGTCAGTGCACTGGTGCTGCTGAGGAATCTCACAAGGAGCATTGGGAAATGTGGACGGGGCTGGAGTGTATGGAGCTGGGCATTTGACACGCATGGACCGAGCTGCTGCTGGACCATTCTCCTTGGTGCTGAAGGAACAAAAAGAAGAGGGGCAGAAACAAACGAAAGAGCCTTGGCTTCCTAGCTAGGGCAACCTCATCAATGTGAAATCGTCATTATTTGAAGAACCAGTTAATACAGAAAGGAACCTACTTTAAATGGGTGAATTGGTTTGCATGTCAACTACGTCTCAGTAACTGTTTAAAAGAAACAGAATACGTACGGTGGTGATACTTGGCCGCAGGCTTCTCCTGCAATCAGACAAAAAGAAACACCATGAGGATTACATCATGCTGGGTCCTGTTGGCACAGGTCTTGTATTCACTTGGTGACATAGGAAAACCAGATGGCAGGCTGAAAACGGTGCCTCACGCATGTAATCGCAGCACATTCGGAGGCTGAGGCGGGCAGATCATGAGGGCAAGAGATTGAGGCCATCCTGGCCAACATGGTGAACCCGGCTCTACTAAAAACTACAAGAAACGTGGGTGGGGTGGTGGTGAGAGACTTCAGTCCAGCTACTCAAGAGTTTGAGGCAGGAGAATTGCTTGAATGCAGTAGGAGGACGCCGCAGTGATCTGAGATCACAACACTGCACTGGACCCTGGTGACAGAGAGCTCTGTCTCAAAAACAAAACTAAGCTAAACAAAAAAAAAACAAATGTCAAGCAGTGATGAAGCCACATGCCCCTAATGGAGCACAGGGATTGCCTCCAGAAAATGCAGTGGGTTTGGAATATTTAGCAAGTATCTATGCTGGCTGAAAAATACGAAATTACTTTTCAAGAAGAAAATGTTGCTACTGAGAAATATGCCCACGACCAGATTGTGAGTTATGCAATCTTTTGACTGACGTCGTCAATCAGGCCTCAGTTGGTCAGAAACTCCACTGACTGCTCGCTAGAGTCCATGACAACTGAGGTCTCATTCACAATGGCAGTCAAAAATGATATTCACTTGATATTCCAGAGGCCCCAGGAAGAAATATTTCTCTTCGAGACTAAGAAATGCATCTTACCACAGCAGGGGGCATCTCTTCGTCCTCTATGTCTTCTAGGACGAGGTCCTGTAAAACCTCAACAGGACCTAAGAGAACACAGAGTGACAGTCAGTGCACGCACTTGTGCTGCTGAGGAATCTCACAAGGGGCATTGGGAAATGTGGATGGGGCTGGAGTGCATGGAGCTGGGCATTTGACACGCATGGACCGAGCTGCTGCTGGACCATTCTCCTTGGTGCTGAAGGAACAAAAAGAAGAGGGGCAGAAACAAACGAAAGAGCCTTGGCTTCCTAGCTAGGGCAACCTCATCAATGTGAAATCGTCATTTGAAGAACCAGTTAATACAGAAAGGAACCTACTTTAAATGGGTGAATTGGTTTGCATGTCAACTACGTCTCAGTAACTGTTTAAAAGAAACAGAATACGTACGGTGGTGATACTTGGCCGCAGGCTTCTCCTGCAATCAGACAAAAAGAAACACCATGAGGATTACATCATGCTGGGTCCTGTTGGCACAGGTCTTGTATTCACTTGGTGACATAGGAAAACCAGATGGCAGGCTGAAAACGGTGCCTCACGCATGTAATCGCAGCACATTCGGAGGCTGAGGCGGGCAGATCATGAGGGCAAGAGATTGAGACCATCCTGGCCAACATGGTGAACCCGGCTCTACGAAAAACTACAAGAAACGTGGGTGGGCTGGTGGTGAGAGACTTCAGTCCAGCTACTCAAGAGTTTGAGGCAGGAGAATTGCTTGAATGCAGTAGGAGGACGCTGCAGTGATCTGAGATCACACCACTGCACTGGACCCTGGCGACAGAGAGACTCTCTCTCAAAAACAAAACTAAGCTAAACAAAAAAAAACAAATGTCAAACAGTGATGAAGCCACATGCCCCTAATGGAGCACAGGGGATTGCCTCCAGAAAATGCAGTGGGTTTGGAATATTTAGCAAGTATCTATGCTGGCTGAAAAATACGAAATTACTTTTCAAGAAGAAAATGTTGCTACTGAGAAATATGCCCACGACCAGATTGTGAGTTATGCAATCTTTTGACTGACGTCGTCAATCAGGCCTCAGTTGGTCAGAAACTCCACTGACTGCTCGCTAGAGTCCATGACACAACTGAGGTCTCATTCACAATGGCAGTCAAAAATGATATTCACTTGATATTCCAGAGGCCCCAGGAAGAAATATTTCTCTTCGAGACTAAGAAATGCATCTTACCACAGCAGGGGGCATCTCTTCGTCCTCTATGTCTTCTAGGACGAGGTCCTGTAAAACCTCAACAGGACCTAAGAGAACACAGAGTGACAGTCAGTGCACTGGTGCTGCTGAGGAATCTCACAGGAGCATTGGGAACTGTAGACGGGACTGGAGTGTATGCAGCTGGGCATTTGACACGCATGGACCGAGCTGCTGCTGGACCATTCTCCTTGGTGCTGAAGGAACAAAAAGAAGAGGGGCAGAAACAAACGAAAGAGCCTGGGCTTCCTAGCTAGGGCAACCTCATCAATGTGAAATCGTCATTTGAAGAACCAGTTAATACAGAAAGGAACCTACTTTAAATGGGTGAATTGGTTTGCATGTCAACTACGTCTCAGTAACTGTTTAAAAGAAACAGAATACGTACGGTGGTGATACTTGGCCGCAGGCTTCTCCTGCAATCAGACAAAAAGAAACACCATGAGGATTACATCATGCTGGGTCCTGTTGGCACAGGTCTTGTATTCACTTGGTGACATAATAAAACCAGATGGCAGGCTGAAAACGGTGCCGCACGCATGTAATCGCAGCACATTCGGAGGCTGAGGCGGGCAGATCATGAGGGCAAGAGATTGAGACCATCCTGGCCAACATGGTGAACCCGGCTCTACTAAAAACTACAAGAAACGTGGGTGGGGTGGTGGTGAGAGACTTCAGTCCAGCTACTCAAGAGTTTGAGGCAGGAGAATTGCTTGAATGCAGTAGGAGGACGCTGCAGTGATCTGAGATCACACCACTGCACTGGACCCTGGTGACAGAGAGACTCTGTCTCAAAAACAAAACTAAGCTAAACAAAAAAAAACAAATGTCAAACAGTGATGAAGCCACATGCCCCTAA